CACATTCAGTTACCAGTCTTTTTTTTTTTTTTTTTTTTTTTTTTTTGACAGGCAGAGTGGACAGTGAGAGAGAGAGACAGAGAGAGAGACAGAGAGAAAGGTCTTCCTTTGCTGTTGGTTCACCCTCCAATGGCCGCTGCGGCCGGTGCACCGCGCTGATCCGATGGCAGGAGCCAGGTGCTTCTCCTGGTCTCCCATGGGGTGCAGGGCCCAAGCACTTGGGCCATCCTCCACTGCACTCCCAGGCCACAGCAGAGTGCTGGCCTGGAAGAGGGGAAACCGGGACAGAATCCGGCGCCCCGACCGGGACTAGAACCCAGAGTGCTGGCGCCGCAAGGCGGAGGATTAGCCTAGTGAGCTGCGGCGCCGGCCAGTTACCAATCTTTACCAATCTCTACAGCTCTCAGGTTTGATTTCTATAAAATGAAGTTAAGAATTTAAAAAACATCCATGAAGCTGAGGTGTGCAGAATCCTCCCCTATTTTTGTGAGCCATCCCTCTCCTCTCAATCTGTTACAGTTCCTTTGGCCATAACTAAATGGACAGGGGTGAGCATTCAGCCTAGTTGTTAAGATTCCAGTTAGGACACTCAGGTCCAACATGGAAGGGCCTGGGCTTGACACCGCCCTGGCTCCTGACTCCAGCTCCCTGCTAATGTGTACCCTGGGAGGCAGCAGTGATGGCTCAAGTAACTGGGTGCCAGGGAGACCTGTACTGGGTTCCCAACTCCTGGCTTTGGACCCAGGCAGGCACCACTGCGAGCACTGGAGAGAATCGGCAGACAGGAACTCTCTCTGGTTCTCTGCCTCTCAAATTAATAATCATAATTTTAAAAGCCATTTGCCTCTGAGTCTTTACAGAACTTTTTTTTTGACAGGCAGAGTTAGACAGTGAGAGAGAGAGAGAGAGAAAGGTCTTCCTTCTGTTGGTTCACCCCCCAAATGGCCACTACAGCCGGCGCGCTGCGCCTATCCGAAGTCAGGAGCCAGGTGCTTCCTCCTGGTCTCCCATGCGGGTGCAGGGCCCAAGGACCTGAGCCATCCTCCACTGCCTTCCTGGGCCACAGCAGAGAGCTGGACTGGAAGAGGAGCAGCCGGGACTAGAACCCGATGCCCCAACCGGGACTAGAACCCAGGGTGCCGGCGCCACAGGCGGAGGATTAGCCTAGTGAGCTGCGGTGCTGGCTTACATAACATTTTTTTAATGATTTTTTTTTTGTGTGTGGTCAAAGCATACTACAGTAAATGTACTGGCTGATGCATTTTTAGATGTAGTAGCAATAAGCACATTCACATTATTGTGTAATACAGCCCCAGAACTTTTCCTCTTGCAACACTGAAACCCTACACCCCCTACTCACCAATTTCCCCTCCTCCCAGTCCTTGGCAAACACCTTTCTGCCTTCTGTTTCTACACTTTTTGATTACTATATGAGTGGAATTATATGTATTCCCTTGTGACTGGCTTGTTTTGCATAATGTCCTCAAGTTCATCCATGTAGCACCTGATAAGATTCCCTTCCTTTTTAAAAAGGGAGGGAGGGAAAGAAGGAGGAAGGGGGGAGGGAAGAGGGAGAGAGAGAGGGAGGGGGGAGACAGGAAGGGGGAGAGGGGGAGAGAGGGAGAGAGGGAGAGAGAGAGAGAGAGAGAGAAACAGCTGCAACAGCCAGCTCTGGTCCAGGACAAAGCTAAGAGCCAGGAACTCCACACTGTTCTCCCATGTGGGTGGCAAGGGCCCAAGTACTTGGGCCATTGTCTGCGGCTTTCCCAGGCATGTTATCGGGGAGACAGACTGACGGTGGAGGAGCCAGGCCTTGAATCAGCACACCAAGATGGGATGCTGCTTTCGCAAGCTGTGGCTTAAGCCACTGAGTCACAACACCGGCCCCTGCTTCCTTTCTAAGGCTGGATGATATCCTATTGTGTGCATAAACTACATTTTCTTTATTCATGGATGGCCATTTGGGTTTTTCTACCTCCTGGTTGCTGTGATGTTACCGTGAACACGAGTGGGTTGCTACCTCTTTCAGACACAGCTTTAAATCCTTTTGGATATGTGCCCAGAAGGGGGAGAGCTGGATCATTTGGTAATCCGATGTTTAATTTTTTAAGGAACCACTGCACTCTTTTCCACAATGGCTGTACTGCTTTACATTCTCACCAGCAACCATACACAAAAGTTCTAACTTCTCTGCATTCTTGCCACCTGTTACTTTCTGTTCTTTTGACCCGGCGCATGTCAGGTATTAGCTCACTGTGGCTTGGCTTTGCATTTCACTGATGGTTCGTGACGCTGAGCATCTTTCCCTGTGCTTGCTGGCCATTTGTGTATCTTCAAGAGACTTCTCGGCCGGCGCCGCGGCTCACTAGGCTAATCCTCCGCCTTGCGGCGCCGGCACACCGGGTTCTAGTCCCGGTCGGGGTGCCGGATTCTGTCCCGGTTGCCCCTCTTCCAGGCCAGCTCTCTGCTGTGGCCAGGGAGTGCAGTGGAGGATGGCCCAGGTGCTTGGGCCCTGCACCCCATGGGAGACCAGGAAAAGTACCTGGCTCCTGCCATCGGATCAGCGCGGTGCGCCGGCCGCGGCAGCCATTGGAGGGTGAACCAACGGCAAAAGGAAGACCTTTCTCTCTGTCTCTCTCTCTCACTGTCCACTTTGCCTGTCCAAAAAATAAATAAATAAATAAATAAATAAATAAATAAATAAAGAGACTTCTCTGTTCAAGTCCTTCGCCCATATTTCAATCAGGTTGCTTGTTTTGCTGTTGTTGTTATGAAACAGTTTCCTATATATTTTGGATATTAACCCCTTATCAGATTATGATTTGGAGATATTTTCCCCAAATGGGATATTTCTCCCATTCCATGGATGATCTTTCCATTCTGTTGTTTCCTTGACACATAGCAGTCTTAAAAGTTTAATGTAGTCCCCAATTATCTATTTTTGTTTTTGTTGCCTGTACTTCTGATCTCATGTCCAAGAAAACTGCCAAATCCAATGTCCTCATTCTTCCTATGCTTTGTTCTACAGTTTTATAGTTTAGGTCTTAGGTTTGATCTTTAATCCATTTTGAGTTAATTGTATACCAAGTATAAAGGATCTAACTTCATTCTTTTGCCTGTGGGTATTTAGTTTTACCAAGAGCATGTTTTTGACATCTTCTTCTCTGGCATATTTGCATGCTGGCCAACAGATTTGTATGATCATAGTACCGAGTGTTGTTAGTACAGGCAGGATGGAGAGAGCAGGGAACAGGGTGGGCTCAGGTAAGCATCACCTCGCTGGGTGAGCTGTGCCCCCAGGTGTACCCCAGCAGCCTGCAGCCCCATGCAGCGAGTGCATGTACTTCTCATTAGCCAGGTCTTTTTTATTTTGCTCCTTGATGCTTTAACGTCTAGGGTCTTGCTCATCCCAGACAGACTTGCCCCTCCCAGGGCCAGCCAATTCCTACAGAGAAGAGAGCCTGCCTGTCACGAACACACCAACCGGTCCAGAGCCCAAGCCCCCACACCTCCTCCTCCACTCATTTTGCACACTCAGTTCACTAGCATCAGCCCTTAGGACCTGGGGCCAGGTACCAGACATGGAAGGATAGCCTGTAGACCCCAGAATCTGCTGGGATTATTCCATCCAGCCAATCCTAAATCTGCCTCACTCAAGCGTTTGTGTGAAAAACACAGTGAAGGCTCTTGCCTGTGTTCCCCTTGCTCCCTCCTCCTCTTGATTCTGGTATTTTCTGTTGCCCTCCCGTGGTGCACTGTGCCTCTCCTCCCGAGATCTGTGAGGAACAGCCATGGTCTCCTGTGTTGTTGGCCCTGCCATTCCTAAGTAACAGTGAAACCTTTAAATTCAGAGAGTGCTGTGTACACTGGGGTGTGGCACAGAAGAAACGGAGTGGCAGTGACCGGAGTGCACCAGGGATGCGGACAACAGGCCGGAGAGCTTCTGGGGCCGCCCCTCAGGATGACTGTAGGTTGTGATCACACCCAGGAAGTCCTTGTTCCAGGGCACGGCGCAGTCTAAGAATCGCACCGTGAGCGACTGTCACAATTCGGCACTGGGGCCTACCCCCATGTTGGTTTCCGGCTATGAGATCATCTTACAGGTATCTTCATTTAGCCTAGAAGGGAGAGAAAGTCGGGGGGTTGGGAGGAGAGGGCCTGAAAGAGAAGTACAGGCAGACAGGTGGAAAGAGGCCCCCAGGCAAACAAAGGGGATGTGCCAAGGCCTGCAGGCAAGTAAGTGAAGGTCACCTGCGCCTCACAGATTGTGTGCAAGTAAGGCTTTGTGTTGCCATTTAAACTGAGGCAGGGATGAGTTACACAACAGGCAGGGGATTGCTAAAGACCAGCTCTCTGCATCAGCATTTCAACACAGACGGAAGCCTCACGATGCCGGTCAGGGTCATTTCGCACAGCAGGGCACTACCTGTGCGTCTGTACTGTGCAACTGCTTCGCAGTTACCGACCCAGACAGCCAGGACACAAATGAGGCCCAACAGGAGGCAGCGGGGAGCTGGGGCTTGGGCACCCACTCCTGCCTGGACCGCTGGAGCCAGCCTCCTGGGGAGGAGCCTTGGTCTTCCTGGAACAGGGGCTGGAACCTTCCAGACCGGTTTGGCCCCAGACTGCACAAACACCTTTCTGTCCCACTCACGGAGCAGTCATGGAACCTTGAGATTTGCTTACTCCTCTATTCAAGGGGACAGTATCGAACTGCTCTTTCCTGGAAGGAGGCCTACCGGGTCCTGAGAATTCCGACAGACAGGGAATCTTCCCGGAGCAGCACCCTCCCAGCCCCCACCTTTCAGCTTGGTGGGGACTCCACCACCGATCCCCCCGAATGCATTCCTCCTCTCATCATGAGCACCTACAATGCTCCCGCAGGGGCTCAGGGGGATCAGGAGGTGCTAAGGTGACACCTGCAATTCAGCCACCACCACCCCCATGCTGGAGACCAAGGGATAACAGGTGCCAAGATCAAGCTCCTCACACAGGTTCGATTTAAATTAAACTTCCTTTAATGAAATAAAAAACAAATGGTGCATTGCATAATATCTGTGGTCACAGTATAAAACAATACAATTAGTTCATATAACATCGGATATGGACAAAAATCCACAAGACCCCTTCTTTGTCTACGGAAAATCCTGCAGATCCTTATGTGCCACACTAAAAAAGAAAGCAAGTCAACCTTTTTCTCCTTGTGATCTGCACACAGATTTCTCACTGAGAATTTGGTCAAACAGCAGAGGAGAACTTACCCAAGTCCCAGCTCCCTCTTCCTCTGTTGTCATCGGTGAAGCTAAAAAAACCAAACACCCAACTTTTCAGAAAGTAGCAAGTTACGTAGTATTGCTTATTATTCCTGCCAAAAAGGCTCAGTCTTTGGCTCACAGATGTCGGTGACAAATCGTGGTTGCAGGCAGTCTGCAAAGCAAGAAGCAAGAGCCACCAGGGAAACAAGGGTCCGGGCAGGAGGGGCCTCCTCTACCCCAGAGCTCAGGGAGCCACGTGGCTGGGGGGGGAGGGGAGGAGGGAACACACAAATAAATACATTTCTAAATTAGGATTTAATCCAGCTGGTGAGTCAGAGTTCCACCGATCCATGAAAAATCTGCAAAGTTGTTAAAAAGTCAGTTTGCATTTTTCTTTTTGTTAAAAAGTGAAACGTGGATGTAAACATCGTAAAGTAAACAATTTACAGTACAGTCATGTGTCGCTTAACGACGGGCGCCCAGTCTGAGACGCGCGGGGCGCTCGCCCAAGCTCGGACGCCACGGTGTCACAGACGATGCCAGCACGCGGGGCTGCCCCGCTTCCCCGCGGTCAGGGACCCAAACGTCGTTACGAGGAGCATGACTGTCGTTTTGAGGCTTCTATCTGAACGTGGGTGAGGGTCTTTCTGGAGGGGAGGGGAGATATTTTTATGATTAGAAAAAAACCCCAAGCTTTATAGATAAAGTTTCTTTTCGTTAAGAAGTGCAATTTCGTCGCGTGAGGCCTGGCCAGGTCCATCCTGCATTCACACCAGTGCCGCTGGCCTCTTCCGGAAGAGCACTTTGTGGGGGGAACCCTATTTGGTACAACGAAAGAGTGTCACACTCACACATCCCAGGCCACGTCCCTGGAAGGGGTTACATCCTTGGCACAAAGCCCTGGGCTTTCTCCCCTTTGCCTCCCAGCCCCCAGGTGACTCGCAGTGGCCACAGACCCAGGCTCAGGGTGGAGGTCCATGTCTCCACACCTCTAGCCTTGAACTGTACCATGTTTGCAAGAAGGTACACACGGCGTGAGCACACATCACTTTCACCATCCAGAGCGCCTGGTGCGACTCTGCCTTCGGATCTACCCACACCAGGGGCCGCCTGGTCCCAGCCAAGCGGAAGTACCTTCTAGGATGGACCTGAGCTATAACAGTCCTGAATCTCCTTTTACCGGAAGTGTGGTAACAGGGCCCCGGCTGTTACTGATAGGGCACCTGTTGACACCTGTCCTCTCACCTGGGATGTACCTCCTCCCAAAAAGCGTGGTTAGAAAATGCCCAAATGTGCCACCACTGAGGCTGCTGCCTCCTCCTCCTGCCGCCACACTCCGGGCCTGCAGCGCCTCTGTGCTGAGCCTGAGGCAGAATGTAGAATTTCCAACCCACGTGGGCATCTCGGTGGGCAGAGCAGGGGAGCCCCGGGGGAACTCTGCCTCGGGCGGTAAGTGCAGAACCAGTGGTGGCCAGCAGAGAGGGGCAGGGGCAGGAGGTGGCGAGCCCAGCAGGGAGCTTGGTTCATCCAGCCCCGAGGTGACAAGGAGCCACCCGTGAATGGCCATCATGTTGCATTACTTTATTGCTCAAAACAAACGGACTGGGTGGCGCTAGATGCTCTGGGGCCAGGATGACAGCTCAGAGGGTTGCAGTCAGGCACCAGCGAGCCTCAGAGACCCTGCAGGGCCCCCAGTGTGGGACAGCACAAGCCGGGGCCTGGGAAGGTGCTCCTGCCTGCTGCCCTGTGCCTGGCTGGTACGGCCGGGCCGGTCGGCCTGCTCTCAATCCCACTTTCCAGGCTGGTCATGTGCCAGTGAATTGCTGGGTCTCCCTCGTGCTCCCAATAGGGAAGCAAACACGCCGCAGAGTACACCCTTCCTCGCTAACCCCTGCGGGGGATCCTAAAGAGCCCTGAAGGGCAGAAAAGGTCGAAGAAGACGTGGTTCTTCCAAACAACGCCAGATTCCTGGAAGCCCGCAGTTTTCTGCCTTTGTGCTAAGGGGCAGCGCATGCGGGAGCTGACCCACTTGCAGTTCCTCTGCCTCCCACAAGGGGCACCCGAGGGGAACTCCAAGGTGCCCCCACACTACTAGGCCTCTGCTCAAGCTCCCGAGGGTCCCCCCTGGCTCCCCTGCAGGCTCCCCCACCCCGGGGCCCAGGGCCTCAGAACTGTCCACGTTGGGTAGTGTCTGCTCCGCTCCTTGTCTCCAACCTGCCCTTCCTCGCAGACCTTCTTCCTGCCCTGGGCAGAGGTGGCTGCGTATTTGTCTCCATTCTCTTTCTTAAGGCTAAGGTGGCAAGATAAGGTGCTCGGTGGAGAGCCAAGTTCTGGATTCCAGGGCCGCCGTTTCAGCACTCGCACAAAAAACAAACACAAAACGAGTGGCCAAGGGGCAGAGAAGCGAAGGGGTTGAAAAAAAAATGCATTTGGGCTCAATGAGAAGTTACTTACTCCAAGTTTAGATTTCCAACGTTGTCTAAACCCCTGAAAATAGGGGGCGGGGCGGGGCAGCACAAGCCATGCCTCCAGCTCCGTACTGGGTGGAAGCCGAGCCCCAATCCAGCCCCCGCCGCCCCCACTGGACGGCGACTCTCGGTGGGCAGGTGCCTTCCCACCCGAGACCAAGAACTCCCAAGGCCTTCACCCCTTCCCTCACCGCCACCTCTCGCAACGAAAAGCTCTAAACACGCACAAGTCAGCGGATCTATAAACCAGTAGGAGAAGAAAAAAAAAACTAGACGCAGGTTAACCATTAGAAAGCCGCGCTCGGGAAACACACACTGGACTCTGTATTTCGGAAAGTGAAAGTGCCGTGGGAGGAAGAGCTGTGTGCTGGTAACCATGTCTGCGCTCAGAACTTGACATGCGGCAGAGAGCGCGCGCGAGTCCCACCTGAGATTAGAGAGGACTGGTGTTCCGTGTCACACGCTTCGTTTTCCCAGACCGCGGTCCTCTTCTCGCCCCGCTGCGCCCTGAACGTCCCTCCCTCCCCGCAGCCTAGTCCATCTCCATGGACATGAGCCGGCGGCGCTCCCGCCGCGTCTCCTGCACCTCCTTCTTGCAACACCAGTGCGAGCTGCAGTACCCGATGAGGCAGGACAGGAGCCCGATGACGGTGGACAGGCCCACGCCGATCAGCAGCGGGTACTTGAAGGCGTTCAGCACTGGCAGGGGAGAGAGCAAATGGGGAGCCGGTTAGTGGGGCTTGCATGCCCCTCGGCCTCCCTCCCTCCCTCCCTCGGGAGTGGGTGCTGAGCACCTAGCACGGCCCTGGAGCAGCTCAGCCTTTATATGAGCAAATGTCTTCCTACCCAGTTCTCTGTGTGTGTACGCAGTGCGAACCCGCTGGGGGAAGGGGTGGGGAAGCAAAAAAGATTCCACTCGAAGCCTTTGAATGTCAACCTGCTTTTTAAGGTTTTGGCAGGAGATTGATTTTTAAAAGTCAGGATAAGGGCACCGCACATTCGGCAGCAGATGCATCCTTTAAAAAACTGCATAAATCAATTCTATGCATCAAATAACTGAAGTGTACTAAGGGAGCTATTTTAAGTAACACTATAGTAAATTATCTAGCAAAGTGAATAATCACTCCCCTACTTGTTTGGGAAATCTGGGCTCTCATATGGAGTCGCTTCAAGCAAGGAATTTCTCAGATGCAAATACGGTATTATAGTCGAGTGGAGTTTCAGAGGCACAGGTTCTTTCTCGGACAGGTGCAGATTCCACCCCCGAAATCCCGTCTTCCTTTCTCCGTATGGACCAATGCTCCTGCTCCCTGGGTGATCACTGACCTGTGCTAAGTGCCTTGTATTTACTATGGCTTCATTTTCACAGCAGCCCAGGAGAGAGGACTGTACCAGAGGAACCAGATCAGAAACGCGAAGTGGGGGCCGGCACTGTGCCTCCACCTGGGCCGTGGCATCCCATATGGGTGCTGGTTCATGTTCTGGCTGCTTCTCTTCTGACCTGCCCTCTGCTTGTGGCCTGGAGGGGGCGGTGGAGGACGGCCCACGTGCTTGGGCCCCTGCAACCATATGGGAGACCAGGAGGAAGTTCTGGCTCCTGGCTTCAGATGGGCTCAGCTTTGGCCATCACAGCCATTTGGAGAGTGGGCCAGCAGATGGAAGACCTTTCTTTCTGTCTCTCCCTGTCTATAACTCTGCCTTTCAGATAAATAAATAAATAATCTTAAAAGAAAAGAAAGGAACACTAAGTGACCCATGGAAGAGCTGAGGCTCCAACTCCCTTCTGCCCTAAACCGACAAATCATTAGAGAAACAGACTGCAAAGGCCCTGGTACTCCTTGGAGGCACCTGGACTTGAATTCTCTCCGTGAAATTATTTCAATTCACATTTACTTTCAGAGAAGGCATGTTTCTCGGGAACCAACAGCTGTCCCCACCCTGGGAAGCTCTGGGAACAGAGCTGGTGGTCCGTGTGGGCCAGCAAGGCCGAGGGTCACCCTGCTGTCTCTGGCTCCATGGAGCCAGACACCCACATCTGCACTAGCGACCGCAGGAGGAGCCGCCCTTCTCTAAGAAGCACCGCCATCAGGTGCGCATGAGGGGCGGGTGTCTGAGCTTCAGCCCTGCCTAGAGACCTGTGCCCTCCCTCTCTGCCCTGTTCTCTGCCTGCCCCGAGGGATCTGTGCCAACCCCAGGACACAGCAAGGTGGGCTTCTCAAACACTCTTTGCAGCAAGTCTTAAAAAATCCTTTCCAATGGTGCCTGCAGCACACAGTAAGAAAGGCAGGGAAGACAGGGAGAGCTGCCTGTGCCCCTTCTGGGGACAGGCGGAGGCCAGGCCTAGAGAGCAAGCAGGACGGACTGTGGTGCCTTCTCAATGCCCTGGGAGCCGGGCTTCTGCCAGCTGCAGCAGGGTACACAGAGACGACCCCCGCAAACACCGAGAGGCCGACGTGCGTGTGGCGCTTACCGTCCATCTTCACGGTGATGAAGATGGGCTTGGACTGGATCTCTGCCTCCTTCTGCCAGGAGCCCGTGGGCGACTTCACCCACGGCGTCACGGAACAATAGTAGTTGCCGAAGTCCTGGTCCTCGGAGCCGTGCACCTGCAGCAAGAACTCCAGCGCGCTCACGCGCTCCAGGCTGAGGTCGCTCTTCCAGTCCCTCCGGGCTGTCGTCACAATCCCCTTCCGGTCCAGCGAGGACAGCAGGATGGGGGCCTTGTCCAAGCCGAAGGAGTGCACAGCAAACCAGGACACGTCGAAGGCCATGTCATCTGCAGGTTACCAAGCCAAAGGCCTGGGGTCAGCGCGGTGGGCAGCGGCGACACAGACACCTCCCACGCATGAGATTCCTGCTCCAGGCCAGTGCCAGCGCCACGCCTCAGCCTACAGTGAAGGCGCTGTTGCGTTCCCTCCTGCCCCTGGGAGGGCCTCGTACCTTCCTCAAGGCTGCACAGCCCAAGGAAGCCAAGGGTACAGCTTGCCCCAGAGATCTGAGCCCTCACCACTGCACCACCACCACCCGTAGCCTAAGGAGTCACAGGCAGTCAGGGCAGAAGGGGACTCCCACAGAGAACACCGATCATCAGGCTGCCATGAAGTGATACTGCAACTGACACCTCAGGCAGAGGAACCCAGACTGGAAGGATACTAACGCTGTGCAGGACAAGCACCGAAAATGAATTGCACAAAACTTACAGTTACACTTTATCATTTACTGTGGTTTTTTTTCCCCTCTCCTTGCCAAAGTGCTTAAGTTCAAAACAAAAGAGGAAAAAAAAATGTCAAGCTGAGAAAATTGAGCACGGTTTAATAGTCCCAGAGAGTAACGCTGCTGAATGGCAAAGTGCTCTGTGAAATTAAAGATTCCAACAGCCGCAAATAAATTTGTATGGGCCTGAGAGAAGGGAGACTTTGGCACAAGCAGGGACTGTAGAGGCTGTGAAAACGGTGCACAGCACAGGCCCCGACCCCTGCTCGGGACCAGGGTCAACCACGTTCAGCTGTGTCAGCTCTGGGACTGCCGCAGTGGCCAAGAAAGGCCCAGGGCCACAAGCACTGTTTTACCCAAAATCCTCCCAAGAAGGGTTTTTATGTGAATGTTTGATGAAACAATTTTTCCCAACAATGAAAAACAAAAAAAAAAAAAAACCAGCATTCATTCATTTAGTAAAAACCCACTAACAGCCTCGGAAAGCATGTCACAAATGAATTATGCCCAGATGCTTCCATATTAAAAAAAGAATGTCTGTTAAATGAAAGCAAGAATTAACGGAACCATCCAGACGGTAATTCCTTTTCGGCTCAGTCTAAAAACCATCGTCTCTTCTTTCTCTCCCCTTCAAGCCACTGTGGCCCTGGAACATGTTTCTTCTTCCCAGAGTGAAAATCCTCTCGCTCCAGGAAGAGCAGCTCCCCTGGGGGCAGCGGGGCCGAGTGGGCACCCCGCTCACGTGTAGGTTCGCCGTGAAGGCCCCACCCAGTGCTGGTGTCTGCGCCCAGCTGCTCCCGGAAAGCACAAAGTCACCATGGAAGCCCCTTCCTTGTGTGAAGACTGTGGCCCCTGATGCCAGCTCTGCCTCCCGTGTGGTGCTGGGCACCCACTGCCACGTGACCCGGGTGAATCACCAAGTTCTCTGGGACTTGGTTCCCTCCTCCGTAAAATGAAAACAATAGCACCCACAAGTTAAATGTATTATAGTTACTAAGAAAAAAAAATGCTTAGAACAGGTCCTGGCGCTTAGGAAGTGCTCAGTAAAAGTAGGCCAACCACGCACTTTATCATCCCTACACTTCAGCATCTGTGGTCCCATGCAGATGCCACGCATGGGAAGGCCACGATGCTGTTGAGGCTCTGTCTGCACTAGCTGGTGCACTGGCCTCTGCCTCTGCCCCTACAGGCATCAGCCACTGAAACTCTCACTCCTGTCCCTTTCTCCAGGGGACTGGGGCTGCCTCAGGCAGGCCATGAAGCACCCTAGCTGCTCGGCCCTCCCGCCTCAGGACAATGACCCCTGAGGGGCTGTAAAAGCCCAGTGCCCTCAGCTCTGGGTGGACCACCCGCATTCTGCGACAGGCCTTGCGCTGCAGCACCCGCCTGGGGAGGGAGGCTTGCTCCAGATTCACTCTGCCTGTCCTGCAAGGCTGCTCCACTGCCTCTCAGTGCTGGGTCTCCGTGAACCACTGGCAGGCTTGGGTCAGGCTTCGTGTCTAGGGAACCCGACCAAGACGCCGCCTCCAGAGGGCCCCTGCCCCACCCTGGCTGCCGTGGCCTTGGCCCTTGGAGCCCAGCTGCACTGCGTCCTTGCCAGGGGAGCACTCTCCAGCCCCTAGGAAGCATGAGGACAAACTGAACCACAGCTGTGTTTAATTATTCAGAATCTTCTCCCCTGACATAGCCCAAGAGTGCAAAGTTCTGGAAAATTGTGATCTGCAAGATAACAGCCACCTATAGCTTTGAAATTACTCTGGAGGAAAAGACTTCCATATTGAGGGCATAGCCGGTGACCCGTTAATTTACCGAGAGGCAGCACTTAGAGGATTTGGTTGTGCGTATCATACGTGAGCTTTAAGGGTGAAAATGGCATTACCTTATACCGGCTTTTGGGGAGCATGTCCCGCCCCTTTCCCGGGCGGTCTCTTCTGCTGCCCCTTCCATTTCACTTCTGAGTGCTACCTCCGTGTCCTCCATCCATCTACACAGAGGCAGCTGAGTACAGGAGTGGCCGCTTACTCAAGACCCAGGCTCCGGGGGCCGGCACTGTGGCGTAGCAGGTAAAGCTGCGGCTTGCAGCGCCAGCTTCCAATACAGGCATTGGTCTGTGGCCTGGCTGCTCCACTTCCGATCCAGCTCCCTGCTAATGCGCAAAGCGGCAAAGGATGGCCCATGTGTTCGGGCCCCTGCCACCCACATGGGAGGCCCAGAAGAAGCTCCTGGCTTTGGCCTGGCCCAGTCCCAGCTGTTGCAGCCATTTGGGGATTGAACTAGTGGATGGAAGATCTCTGTCCTTCACTTGCTTTAACGCTTTCAAATAAATAAATAAATACATCTTTAAAAAAACAAATCCCCAGGCTCTACATTTCTTTAACTAACTTGATGGGTTTGATGAGTTTCTTTCGTTACATCTTCCACAAATGCGTCTTATTCCCACCTCTGAAGTGTATGCATGTCCAGCTTCCCGAAGACAGTCATGGTGGGTGTCACTCAACAGTCCAGGCATCAGCCAGCTGCAGCCCTCAGGCTGGACCCAGGCCGCCGTGAGCTTCTGTAAATAAAGCCGCGCCGGAACGCAGCCCTGGCCGTTGGCTTATGTTATTATCCACAGCCGCTTTCATGCTACAGTCAGTGCGAGGCGGAGTCCCTGCAGAGCCTGCCTGGCCCGCACAGCCAAAAGTACTTCCTGCAAGGCCCCTTGCAGAAGACACTCGCTGGCCCCAAACCAGCGGCCTCCCTGCCAGAGCCTGAGCGATGGGGCCACCCAGGCCTCTGCTGCCAGCCCCCGGCCCGGGGCGCTCGCTCTGATTTCACCGCTGGCCATTTGCCCCACGCTTTCTATGCTCTCCTCGCCTGGGCCACACCTCAGCCGTCTCTACACAGAATGCTGGGACCAGGCACAATGTTCAAGGTGCCACCTGCTGGAAGCCAAGGCTTTGCCTGTGACAGGGTGGGGCGGTACAGAGTGCTCGGGGTCCGAGTAGCAGAGGTGAAAAAGCAGCCTGGGATGAGCCAGGTACCACGTGAGGCCCCTGGGAAAAGGCAGAGGTGGGCGCAGTCCTGGTTGGCAACACACAGACACCCTGAAGGTGGTCAACATTCTTGCAAGCCCTCGGGGGTAAGACCGACGGGTCCCCTGGCTCGTGGGCATCCTGTTGGGCACGGCTAATATTTTCTACAAAAGAAAGGCCTGCAGAGATTTCCTGAGAATTCTAATGGCAACAGCGCCCGGGGCGCCCCTCTGCTGCGCTCCTTCACCACGCTCATTGCTAAGGGATGCTACACGCTTAGTTCTGGCTGGTGTCTGTAGCTGGCTCGCAAGCTTCAAGCGCTCCGCATGGCACCGTCCCCAGCATCTGCAGCCGCACCTGTGCATTGAAGGGGCTCAGGTATATCTGAATAAATGAACGAGGCCCACAGGGCAGCAGTGGGACCTGGCGGGCCGAGTCAGACTAGCCCAAAGCAGGCCCGGAGGGACCTGCTGGTCACCCTGACAGCTCATCCATCCAGCAGCTATGAAACCCCGACACGGTACAACATACAAGCCAGGCAATCGCGGGATTAAAGAGACCATCCAGTACCTGCCCCTGCCATCTGTGTGACACAGTGGGGATGAGATGGGGGAACAGTCATAGAAAGCCACATGGGGACAGGGTGTGGGGGGGAGATAGGTACCTGGATCCAGCACGGCCCCCTCGACGGTGACGATGCAGAACAATCTCACCAGGTCTCCCCGGGTGACTGACGGTGTTTCCGAGTGCACAGAGGCATTAAAAACTGGACCTGGAAGAAGGCACACCAGCATCATGACCCTTTGGCGCTTTTCTGAGATTTCATCACTGATGCTCGTGTGGGCATCGACACGTGGGGACTGGTCCAGACACGGACAGGAGCCGTGTTCTCCGGCCGCCTTCTGCTCCTCCGAGACAGGGGCGTTGGGTGCCTCCATATGAACTTCCTCTCAAGAGTACAGCAAAACAGAACCATCCCAAGGAATTACTTCTGCTTCTGGCTTTTTTCACCTGCCCATCTGAAAGCCGTGGTCACCAGGGGAAGGCCGCCCCGACCCCGGCACAGCCTGGCTTCGTTCTGGTTCAGTGTGGGGACTGCTAGGCCAGGGCGGCTTGGAGATCAGCCGGACAGGGACTGGCCCAGGGATGCTTTTGGTCCCAGTGAAGCAAGTGGCCTCATCATGCTGTGCTGGCTGATGGGCACAGAGGCCTTGCTGTGTGTGGAGAGGCTGAAATGCACGGAGACACTGCTAATGTTCCCATAAGTGCAGGGGAGCACAAAGCATGGCTCCAGGCCACCAGGCCCTACTAAGGCAGGCTGGCTGCTCAAGTCGGGGAGGCTGTGCTTATGCGGTCAGGGAATGTATGGGAACACTGCACTTTCTGCCCACTCATCTGCAGTAACTTAAAACTGCCCTTTAAAAAAATCTAGGGACTGGCACTGTGGTACCGCAGGTAAAGCTGCTGCCTGCAGTGCCAGCATCCCATACGGGCGCTGGTTCGAGTCTCGGCTGCTCCACTTCCAATCCAGCTCTGTTATGGCCTGGGAAAGCAGAAGATGGCCCAAGTCCTTGGGCCCCTGCACCCACGTGGGAGACCCAGAAGAAGCTCCTGACTCCTGACTTCGGCCATCTGGGGGAGTGAACCAGCAGATGAATGGCTCTCTCTCTCTGCCTCTCTTTAACTTGGCCTTCACATAAATAAATAAATCTTTAAAAACAAAAAAAAGTCTAAAGCTGAGCAAACAAAAATCCTCTATCCATGCAGAACTTGTCTTGCATTCCTCCCTGAGAACACTATGGACATCATACCTATGCACGGGGAGCATTTCATAGCTTTAAGCTAAGCGCATCTAAGAGTTCAAGGTTTAATTGATCCCAACTGGGTTTCCTGGGTAGCAAAGAGAGATGGATCTGGGCGGTGACTGTCAAGTTCATTAGAAGAATTCAGGTGTGACTACTTTCTCGTTCAGCTCGCCAGAAAGGAAAAAGTACCGCAGTGCACTTTTTATAAACTTGCAGATGAAGTGACTATGAGAGAGACAGAGAGAGGGAGGAGAGGCAGGCAGGCAGGGAGTGGTGGGAGGGGGCGGACACAAGGCCATGGCACTCCCGGAGGGAGTCACTGAAGTGCCTCATTTCCATTTCACCATGATAACTACTAACGGGTACCCTTACTGCATTGCTTTCCCTACACCAAGTATCTGACAGATTTGTTTTGCTGGGAGAAAGCTGAAGGGTGGTTGTAGAACATGGAACCCTGTGGGGTCAGGCGGCCCTGGGTGGGTCCTGCTGAGGTTTCTGATTAGCCCTGGAGCGCGGGACTGGGGGCATGAACTCCAGGCAGAAGGAGAACACAACAGTCCCAGGAGACGCAGAGAGGGACGGAGCACGAGGGCAGGGCATCCTGAGCCACTCTGGACACCTCCTTCAGTGCGCTCAGCTCTGGCCCCAGCTCCTTCGGGCCCCACCACCCAGACCTGCCCTGCAGCTGCTCTGAGCCGGCCGGGCACGGGTCTCCGGGTGGTTCTTTATGCCTCTGATGGCCACCTGGGAGTGGGTGCAGGATGGCAGCAACAGGGTGTGCACAGTATTATCATGGATTACAGATGTCACATAATAAACAGAACTACACCAAGGCCCTTTCTTAAGAGAACACAAAATGACAAAAGATTAAGAAATCTTCGGGGCCAGCACTGTGGCGTAGCGGGTGAAGCCACCGCCTACAGTACCCACACCAGTTCACGTCCTGGCTGCTCCACTTCCAACCCAGCTCTCTGTTATGACCTGGGAAACCAGTGGAAGATGGCCCATGTCCTTGGACCCCTGCACCTGCGTGGGAGACCCGGAAGAAGCTCCTGGCTTCAGATCAGAGCAGGCCATTGCACTATCTGGGGAGTGAATCAGCAGATGGAAGACCTCTCTCTCTCTGCCTCTCTAATAAATAAATAAATCTTTAACAAAAAAAGTAAAAAAAAGAAATCTCCATAATGGATTCTTATTTTTTATCAAGTTAATTTGAAACAGCAAAGAAAGGCTTACCCAGATGGGCTATAGTTCACTTTTCCTTTATGTTCCCAAAGAACACCAGTGCCTGTTGGGTCACGAGTGACAGTTCCTATACTCCCTACCAGCCGTGGCTGTGGCAACCAGGACAGTGTCCGTGCTGTGGCCCAGAAAGTGGACATGGCCAGGACGAGGCCTTCGTGTGGTGGGCCCTTCACAGCAGGGGGTTTCCTTCCAGCACGGTCACAGCTTGCTGGGTCGCTATCCCAAGCTCAGCAATATTTTCACGACGGTCACTCTCTGTGGTCGTGCTGCTACTGTGAGGGGATCTGTCTGGTCAGCCCCACAGGTGACAGACAACGGCACAGAGAATTTCTGTGACCAACCAGAGTCACCAAGGGTGCCCGATTCCCAGCCTGCAGAGTGCACAAGAACCCCTCAGCTTTTAAATACGAATGCTGACACAAACCATGTCCTAACCCAGCTTCTAAAATAAGTGTCTGTCAATGGCAGTCTTTTTATGAAAGCAAAAATTGTAGATCATCTGCCTGTTTGTTAAGTAGCGTAACAATTCAGCAAATCCTAGTCCATGGAGTCACTGAAGCTGGTATTTACCTAGAGTTTATTCTAACACCAACACTGCTTATCTTATAACATTAAGTGGGAAAAAGCAAGCTATGAAACAGTGTATATGTTCTAATGTCAAAGTCATGAGGAAAACACACCCAGGAAATGAACACAAAAGAATCATCTCAGTTTGCAGGATTCTCTTCTTCTTCCTTTTACTTTACTCTATTTTCACATTTTCTGTATTAAGGAGAAAAATTGCACTTTTATTCTATTAAAAGGCCCAAGGTTACATCATTACCTTTCTGATTTCCTAATTTCCTCCTGACACTGGACTCCATCAAGAGGCCAGGGCCCTGAAATCGGGACGGGAGGGTGGACACTGCAAAGACCTTCTCATCCTGAGTCTTAAAACATGCTGCTGAATTTTAGGAAGCAAAGTCTCTGCTTTCAAGTCCATGTTTGTTGGGGCTACTCAGGGCTACAGCGTTGTGCTGGGTGAATGTGATGGCAGCTTCTCCTACTTAAAGTGTGAACTGACCATGATAACTCCACGGATTAAATAAAATAAAAATCTTAGGCAGTCCATTCAATCTGGAAGCTGCAGGCAATTTATCTGTTAGGCTAAGATTTTGAAAACTGAAAAATAAGATTCAATATGCACTCTCCACTCAGAAAAGCTTGGAAAGATTTCATGTCTTCCTTCTTCTATGTAACAGATTAAAAGAAAGATTAAATAAAAATGTAAAACAAGATGGAATTGATGCCTTTAGCTACACAAATTAAGGATATGAATCACATCATCATCTCATCTCAAGGAACACCAAAGCAGAGTCAGACAACACCCAACAACTCTCCAGAAGAACCCTCAGTAACTTCGGAATCAAAGGAAGCTCCTTCAGCCTGCTAAAGGACATCTATGACAAACCCTTGTCTGATACGATACTTGGTAGTAAAAGACTGAACGCTTTCCTCCTGCCATCAGCAACAAGCCCAGGATGCACACTTGTGCTGCTTCTATTCAACACAGTCACGGAGGTTCCAGAACCTAGCGCAGTTAAGCAAGAAAAACAAATGGAAGGCATTCAGCTCAGAAAGGAAGAAGCGGAACAACCTCTATTCACAGGTGATATGATGTTGTCTTTAAAAGCCAGACATCCGTAAGACAGTGTTAGAACTAATAAATATGATACGGGGCCGCCGCTGTGGTGCAGTGGGTTAAAGCCACCACCTGAAGCACTGGCATCCCATATGGGTGCCGGTTCTAGTTCTGGCGGCTCCTCTTCTGATCCAGTTCTCTGCTGTGGCCTGGGAAAGCAGTGGAAGATAGCCCAAGTCCTTGGGCCCCTGCACCCGTGTGGGAGACCTGGAGGAAGCTCCTGGCTCCTGGCTTTGGATCGGCCCAGCTCCGGCAGTTGCAACCATCTGGGAAATCAATCAGTGGATGTAAGACCTCTCTCTCTGCCTCTACCTCTCTCTGTAACTCTTTCAAATAAATAAAAATAAATCTTTAAAAAATGATATAAGACCAACATAGAAAAATCTATTGTGTTTCTACATAACTGCAATGAGCAAACTGAAATGTAAATTAAGAAAGCAATCTAATTTACAATAGCATCAAAGAGTCTAAAATATTTAAGATAAATTTAACAAAAGACGTGTATTATTTCCCAGTGTACACCACAAAACACCACTGAAAGAAATTAAAGAAGTCCTAAAGAAAAAGAAAGACATCCCACATTTATGGATTGGAAGATGATACCGTTAAATGACAATACTCCCCATATTGTTCTATAGATTCAACGCAATCCCTATTCAAGTCTCAGCTGGTTGGTTGGTTTGCTTGATTTTCTGCAGAAATGAGCAACCTGATCCTAAAAGTCACAAGGAAATACAAGGGATCCAGAATGGTCAAAACAATTCTAAAAAGAACAGAATCAGAGGGCTCACACATCTTGACTTCAAAACTAACTTACAGAACTCAAACAAAAACTGATATTGGTATAAGGACAGAAATACAGATCAGTGGACTAGAACTTAGAGTCAAGAAATATGCAAACCCTTACATTCATGATTAAATGGTTTTTTGACAAGGGTGCCAAAGCAAGTCATGGGGGAATATGGACTCTAACAAACATTGCCAGGAGAGCTGTATACGTTCATGTAAAAGAATAAAGTTGGACCCCTTCCTCACAGCACATACAAAAATCACCTCAAAGTAGAACAGAGCTTAAGAGTAGAGCTAAAACCAGAAAATCCTTAAAAGAAAATACAGGTATAAGCTTTGCTGACCTCAGATTAGACAATGATTTCTTTGGACACCAAAAGTACAAGCAATCAAAGAGAAAAAACAATAAACTGGACTTCATCAACATTAAAAACTTTGTGGCTGGCATTTGGCCTAGTGGTTCAGATGCTGCTAGGGAGGCCTGCATCCCCTAGGGAGTGCCTGGGGTGGGGTCCTGGCTTCACTCCATTCCATTTCCTACCAATGCACACCCTAGGTGGCAGCAGGCAATGCCTCAATCCTCCAGCCCATGTGGGACACGTGAACTAACTTCCTAATTCCTGGCTTTGACCTGGCCCAGCCCTGACTGTTGTGGGCATTTGAGGATTAAACCAGCAGATGGGAGGTCTCTGTATGTCTGTCTCCTCTCTGCCTTTCAAATAAAATAAATAACTTTTTTTGAAAGAAAATTAAAAATTTTGAGGCCTCAGGGGACAAGAAACTTTGATACTTCAAGGGACAAAGAAGTGAAAAGACCACCCAAAGAATGCGATAAGATATTTTCAGATCACACACATGGCAGCATTATTGTAATAGCCAAAAAGTGGCAATAATCTACATGTCCACCAGTGGATGAACAGAAAAACAAAATGTGCCATGCTCGTACAGTGGAGTATTATTCAGCCATAAAAAGCAATGAAGTCGTCATTCATACTGCTGGACCTGGAAAACATTATGCCAAGTGAAAGAAGCCACACACAAAAGTCCACGTACTATATGGTTTGACTTGTGTGAAATGTCCAGAAGCAGCAAATCTTGGGAGATAGAGTGGGTTAGTCTTTGCTAGGGGCAGAGGGGCGGGGCTCGGGAGTGGCTACTCATAGGAACAGTGATTAAAACTAATGGAGTTAGCAGGGATGGCATGCACTAAAACCACTGAACTGTATGCTTTAAATGAGTGGCTTTTGTACTGTAGGCACTGCATCTCAGTCTAGTTCTTACTGAAAACAAATAGAAAACATACACAGCAGAAAAGACCTGTTCTCTCTGCTCTTCCCATCTCTACCAGCGTAAATCAATATTCCCCCTGTAGCAATTTAAAGGTTAAGAGAGGCTGGGAGACTTCACTACACGCTATAAATGGTTATGATAATATAAAATAGTACTAATAGAAAACAAACTTCATTAGAGTCTAGTTTAGCTTTAATTTAAATGCCAGTAATCCAACAAATATTTGCATTCATCACACTGATTCAATTCATACCTGAATTTTTATAAATAAGTATAAATTTATACATTCAGAAACTGGAAATAGTGAAAATATTTACTCTTAAATTCACAAATGATAATCCTTTCTACTGATATTCTAAATAAGGCTGGGGATTAAACTTCTCAATCAGTGTCCTGCTGGAACACACACAGTCTGTCTGAGGATCTTAATGAATCACAAGATGAGGAGGAAATACTTCTATTCAGGAATGTGTCTCTGTACCTGTACCATTAAAAAAGTGGACCTTTCCGCCTTACAGCGAATAAACATCCTATTTACCAAATATAAACTAATTTTAGAACAGACATACAAATGTGCATGTTTTAATTAACTTTCCCATGGATGACTACCACTAATAACCATTCTTAACGAATTGAGCCAACAGATATATTCATCCATATCATGGCAGTTCTGGCTACTTGACTATTTAACAGGGAATCTTTTTTCCATTCCACACGCACGGTGAGCAACAAGGTTGGGATGATCACCCCTCTATGGAAACACGGCTCTCGGGGGCGGGGCCAGGAACAGTCGCCAGCACCTTCAGTCCTGGAGGTTCACTAGGGTGGAGGGGTCCTGTGAGTGGGTAAGGCCGGGGTCCCAGCTCTCATCTCCCACTGCTGACAAGTCATGCGGGCCCTCGGTACGCTCACGTCCCTCCTCTCTGTCCTCATGCTCTGCCATGCTCCCAAAGGATCTGAAGTAGCTGTTTGTTTATCTCTTAAAAATGAGGTCAGAAAGGAACATCTATGTGCTCACACAAGAACCTGTTCACAAATGGTCACAGCAGCCTTATTTACAACAGTTAGGAACTGGAAATATCCATCAAGCGATGCATGGATAAACAAAACGTGGAGCAGCCACACAACTCAATGTTAGTCACAAAACGGGGTGGAGGGGTAGCTGGTAGAGCCGCCACTCGTGATGCCGGCATCCCACACGGGCGCCAGTTCCAGCCCTGGCCGCTCCACTTCAGACCCAGCTCCCTGTAAATGTGCCTGGGAAAGCAGCGGAAGACGGCCCCAGTGCTTAGGCCCTTGCACCCACGTGCAGAACCTGGAAAAGCTCCTGGCTCCTGCCTGGCCCAGCCCTGGTTGTTGCAGCCACCTGGGGAATGAACCAGGAAGTGAAAGACCTTTCTCTCTCTCTCTCTCTCTGACTTTCAAATAAATAAAGTTTGGAGTGCTGCTTCAAGTCCAGGCTGCTCCACTTCCAACCTAGCTCCCTGCTAAAGCACCTGGGAAAGCAGCGGAAGATGGCCCAAGTACTTGGGTCCCTGCCACCCATGAGGGAGACCCAGGTGGAGTTTCAGGCTCCCCCGTAATTCTGCCTTCAAATAAATAAATAAACCTTAAAAACAGGCCAAAAAACCCCCTGGGGTCAGGGCAGGGTTTGGCCTAGCAGTTAAGATGCCGGTTACGATGTCTACTTTCTGTATCAGAGTGTCTGGCTTCAAGACCCGACTTGGCTCCTGATTCCAGCTTCTTGTATTACAGACCCTGGATGGCAGCAGATGGCAGCTCGAGGAACTGGCTTCCTGCCACCACGTGGGAAATCTGGACTGAGTTCTCATCTCCCAGGTTTGGCCCCAGCCTGGGGTCACTGTGACCATCTCTGGGGTGAACCAGCAGTTGGCAGCCGTCTCTCAAATACCTAAAACTTCAATTCCATGAACCCCTCTCCCCGAACCTGATTCAACAGGGCTCACCTGAGGTTTGGAAGTCAATCTCTATGGGATTGGAGAGACTGGTCGCTGCTTCTCGCCACAAGCTGCCACCAACGGGGGACCAGGCTGTCACCACGCAGCGGTACAGCCCCGCATCGGAGACCTGAGTTTGGTACATTCGATAGCGAAATTCATCCTCTTGCACTTTCTCTAACACGACGCCGTCCACCCGCGCGGTGTCTGTCCAGTTCTCCAGCTTCACCACAGAGTCCTGGTTCAGGGAGATGATGTACCTGGTCTCATTGGCACTGGAGAGGTCCCCCACGGGCTTCTCGGCCGTGATGAGAACAGAGTAGCGCGGCGACCTGATGTTCTTGGAAGACACTTTGCAAGTCATCTCAAACGTATTTCCTGCAGCAAAGAAAGGCTTTGGCTGCCTCGCCTTCACCACGAGCACCGACTCTGGAAAGAAGTACAGAACGAGGTGACTTCCAAGAGGATCCGTGGAAGTGGGTATGCACCTAAAGACGAAACGCAAGGAAGCAGGGCTGCGTCTGCAAACTGCCCCACACTGGCACCTGGGGGCATCTGGAAACTCGGAAGAGAATCATGTGCAGCCGTGATCAGGCTGGGAACCAGCATCCTGGGAGACGCAGTCAGAAAGGATTTCATGGGCAGTGGGCGTTTTGCCTTGAAAGGCCCACATTCCTTATCGGAGTGCCTGGGTTTGAATCCCGTCTCCGCCTCTGATTCCAGCTTTCTGATAACGCACACGCTGGGAGGCAGCAGGTAATAGCTCAAGTAGTCGGCTCCCTGCCACCCACACCAAAGACCTGGAGTGAGTTCTTGGCTTCCAACTTGGCCTGGTCCAGCCCCAGTCATTGTGAGCATTTTGGGAGTGAACCAGTAATGGGAACTGTCTCTCTCTTTCTCTCAAATAAACAAAAACTTTAAAAAAAAAAAAACGTATTTAATGGGTACAGGGGGAGAAGGAATTGATGGTGGAAACTTGTTGGTTTTTTTTTTTTTTTTTTTTAGGACTTTCAAGTCCTTGAGAGGTTTCACTAAGGGAAAACACTCGAGAGGCTACTGGGCCCCAGGGATGCGAGGTGGAGCCCACTCGTGGTGAGCTGGGGAATGCAGTGCTGAAGGTGGCAGGCGCCAGCCTGCTGGCCAGGCCACTGCTCTCCTGCCGCTGAGCATCTGCTGAGTGCAGACAAACGACTGACTGCTAGCGAGCCCAGCCTGCCTGGAGGGGCGGGGATGGGAGCAGCGGCCTCTCCCTGTTGAATCACGTGAGCCTAACACCACAGAACAGATCTACTACTGAGAGGTCTGCAGCATTTGCATTTCCACTCGGTTTCCACTTTGGAGAGCCCGACTGAACATTGTGAGCAAGTGTACACAGTAGCATAACTTCAGGTCTGAGCGCATTACTCTGCTTCTCTGTCAAAACAGTAGCCGAAGCACACACACACTAGAAGTCCCCTATTATAAGGGCTCAGTGTCACTCTGAAGCTACTTCAATATTTGCTGAACAGAGGAATACAAGAATTAGACACCCTTCTTTCCTCCTTTGGTAAGACAGCTAATCCTATAATCTGTCTTGGAATACAGGAGATTTGGGCGTTGGGCTTTCCCCCCAAATCCGCCAGTAGAACGGATCTGCTACGCCACTGTCTCTCTAGAACCACTTTTTTCTGACGTTGCAGTGAGCCAACCACATCCTTCCTTGATTGTCCGGCGAGACTGCACACCCAACTGTTGATTAAACAGCTACTTTCTGAATTTCTAAATTCTAATTTCTAAATTCCAGGACCTGGGAGTACAGCAGTAAACACAACATCCAGGAGAGGAAGACAGAGTATAGCAGGTAGGATGTATGATATGGTCAGATGTTGATACAGGGCGCAGAGAAAAGAAACCAGGCAAGGAAGGGAGAAAGCGTGGGGTGGCGGTGGGGTGGGGAGTGTTATGACAACCCCAGACAGAGTGGCGAGTGAGGGAGGGAGGCCCTCATGGAGAAGGCAGTGTTGGAACAAGGACCTGAAGGCAGACAAGGAGGCAAAGCACGCCAGGCAGAGGGAACCACGAGCAGAGCAGAGGCCGTGAGGCAGGAGCAAGCCGGGGGCACATCCGGGGAGTGGCTCAAGCAGAGTGGGCGTGGGGTGAGTGGCAGGTGAGGCCAGAGGCAATGGGGCCAGCTGGCGGAGGGCACCCAGCACTCCTGGAAGCCCTCTGCATTTTGCTCTCACTGAGAAGGCAGCTGTGAAGGTTCAGAGCCAAGGAGTTTCATGAGCTGCCTGGTGATGCCCAGGGTTGCTCTAGTTGCTGTGTGCAAGGACAAAAGCAAGGAGATGGGTTAGAAAATTATGGTCTACAAGTAGCACAATGGTGCCTGAGAAGGTTGGGAGAGGAGAGCTGGCTAAAGCTGGAGAGGCCACTTTCAAGAGAGGTTCCAATACGAACTGCCTCAAATACTTTGGTCTCTGCCACTCCTGGAGGAGATCCCGGCTCCTGGCTGCAGCCTGGCCCATCCCTGTCTGTTGCAGGCATTTGGAGAGTGAACCAGGGGCTAGAAGATCTCGTTCTGTCTGTCCATGTCAACTCTCTCAAATTCATTTTAGAGGAAAGAAAAAGACAGTATAATAATATTGTATCTCTGGAAAGAGGTTAGGGTCAGAATGTAAATTTGGGAGTCACTGGTGTCTAGATGATATTTAAATTCACGCAATTACCAAGGGAATAAAGGTTAAATAGGAGTATAGGACTACATCCTGAAGTGGTCTAATGTTTGAGGTCAGAAAATGAACGTGAACTAGCTAAGGGGCTGAGAAGTAGCAAGTACGGCTGGAAGAGAGCCTGGTGAAGGCAGCGTCCCATAAACCAAGGGAAACACCAAAATACCTAGGCGACCCCTATGAAGTCAAGTGAGACAACTGACACCTTGACACTGGATTTTGCAATGTGTGGATCACTGGTCATTCCAACATGAGCAGTAGGAGGAAAAGACCAGAGGAAGTACCAGAGAGTGGGGGAGAGAAATTGGAGACATCAAGTATAGATAATTCAAATACTGTGGCTCTAAATGAAAACGAACAAGAGAAGATGAGGTGGGCAAGAGGAGATGCGGAATAGAAAAGCAGACGAGGAGGTGGGATCAAGATTAGGTGAGCTTTAAAAACCAACACATAAAACGAGACCTAACAGAATGCTGATGGGCCAATGGAAAAAATTTAGAAGAGAGGCAACCACTAAAGACTTAGAGGAAGAGCTGGGTGTCTGAGTGGTCAGAGGAGCTGGCTTTGCCAGGGTATCAGATGAGCAACACGGGCTCAGCTACTGGGGGAGAGTGCGGGTGAATTTTCCTGATTCTGTTTTTCTTGAATGGAAATTGGAAGAAGGACTAAGAGTTGCAGGGGTGGGAGCTGCTGAGAGAGAAGGCCCCGTGGGTAATAATCATTCAGGAGCACAGGCAAACAGATGAAGGAAACGCAGTGCTCAGAGCCCACTGCACATAAATGATCACAGACTCAAAGGGAGACCGGTCAACATGCCTGAATGTTTCTTTCTCCAACCACATTTACCTCTATAGATGCAGGCAGGGAGGCAGCAGGGAGCTGGCTTTGAACTACGTTGTGGTTTAGGTGGAGTATAAACGCAAACCAAGGGCAGGACAAGGGAGTTACAGGTATGTGCAAGGGAGTGATTATGAATGACGGGGATCTGGAAAACACGTACTTGATCCCCACCTCCCACTCCTGGACATATGTAAGAATGAAAGAGTCCGATGGCAGGCACGGCAGGACGAGTCTAACACTCTCCTGATAAACGATCACACTGGGAAGAGAGAGGTGAGCGGACAGTGGGGGACGAAGGACAACAGAAGGTGGTGGGATGAACTGACCATTAGCCCGGCAGGGTTGAAGGGCGGTTGCTGGTGTCCTAGGGGACTAATCTAGGAATAGGAGATGTTTAGGGAATAGGATGCTTGGGAGTGGCTCCAGTTATTAGAGCGACATGGTCTAATGAAGGGTCTAAGCATGGGAATAAAGCAGATGGGATAAGGAACACAATGACTGGAGAGAGGCCGACAAGAGACACAGGCTTACACCTACAGCAGGCTAGGTGCACCTGAAAACCGCCACAGGAGCACTAAAAAATTCCAGTGTTCACACTGAACATGGAATACATCGATTAAAACAGAATTTTAGTAGGACCCAAGCACCAGTATTTTCTTTTTTTTAAGCTCCTAGGATGATTTCAATTGCAGCCCAGGGCACTGCCTGGATACTGAAGTCAGGGAGATAGGAGCAGTACTAGAGAGAGTGGCCACGAAACAAAAGCTAACAGCTGCCAAGAACGGAGGACGGAAGAGGTCTGACGACTCGAGAGTCTAAGATGGAGATTTTTCGGGGTGAGGGAAGCGATCTGCAAGCTGCGTGAGGACTCAGGAGAGCACCTGCCCCCCACCTCTAGGCCTGGTTACGGCAGGGAAGAAAACACCACCACTTCGGAGGGCTCCAGGAAAGCTGGTCTCAGCAAGCGAGGTTGATGATGTTTAATGCGAGATAAAGAAAGAGGAACTGTTCAGGGAACAGGGGATTCTGGTGCTGGCAGTGAGTTCCAGAAGGTTCTCCAGGGCATGGGGTATAGGGGTAGTGGTGCTGAGTACAAAGAGGGTGTAGAGGATTGTAGAGTGGCGAATGGCTTCCTAACGTGACCTGAAGGCACGCCCTGGGATGACTTCAGCAAAAACCATACCAAAGCAGATCATGAACGGAAGGAAGCGCCTACCTTCTGACGCCCAAAATATGTTGACAGGTTTGGAGAAGACATCCTTGCTCTTCACCCAGCTGTTGTTCCGCTGCTTGGTCCAGGCAGAAACAACACAGTAATAATTGCCCCTGTCTTCCTCTGTAGTCCTTTGAATCCGGAAATTGAACGTGTCCGTGTGCTCCTTAGAGAAGATGAACTCTCCGTCCTGGGCCCGCTGCCTGCTCTTCTCGCCGTATTTCAGCGTCCAGTCCCCGTCCATGACTGCAAGCAGCTCGCTGGTCACCACGTCGTCACTGCGGCGGTTCATTCTGTAGTACCACGAGACCGTAAAGCGGACGCCCGCCTCGGCGCTCCTCGCGTCCACCACCCGGCATTCCAGCTCGGTGGGGTCGTCTGAGAACCCGGGGACCTTGGACGCATTCAGGTATACCTGATAGCTTGGTTCTGAAGGGGTCAGGGAGAGAGGCCAGGATAAAACACAGTCAGACAGAGCAACACAGCGAGACTTTGCAGAAGCAGCGAGACAGATCGTGCTCTTGTGCTGCCAATTAAACACCTATCCCACTGACAAGAGCCCGAAACCAGAGTCCTTGTAGTGGATGGAACACGAGTCCACTCTGTCGCTCTAACAAAACACCAGAGGCTGGGTACTTTAGAAAGGAAAGAGGTCTATTTAGTGCACAGTTTTGGAGGCTGAATGTCTAAGACTGGATAGCCCTATCTGCTGGGCCTCTGCTGGGGGCTCCCTTGGCCATGTCACACATGGCAGAGAAGGAGAAAGAAAACCGGAAGTGAGCGGAACAGACCAAGTGCGTGGGGCGGCCTCATTTGCTAACAACCCACTCACTCACTTCAAAGGACCAGTGTTCCTCCCTTCCAAGGGCAGTGTCTCCCGTGACCTCATGGCCTCTACCAGGCCCCAATCTTAAAGGTAGACCACAGGGGCTGGTGCTGTGGCGTAGCACCCCATATGTTCATGTCCCAGCTGCTCCTCTTCCAATCCAGCTCCTTGCTAATGCACCTGGGAAAGCAGCGGAGGATAGCTCAAGTCCTTGGGCCCCTGCACCCACTTGGGAGACCCCAGGTGAAGAGCCTGGTCACTTGAGGAGTGAACCAGCAGATGCTTCACCCTGCCTCTCCCTTTCTCTGTGTAACTCTTTCAAACAAGCAGATAAACCTTTAACACCCCCCCCCCCCAACCCTGCCCCAACTCAGCCTCACCACGGTGGGGACCATGCCTCCAGCCCAGCAACCTGTAGGAGACAAACCACAGCAGACAGAAGGGGTCCCAAGAGGGGGTCTCTGTAAAATGCGCTTCCCATACCCCACCAAGAAAGCCTCTCAAGGCCAACGCCAGGAAGCCACTTCCGGCTGGGGGTGGGGTGGGGGACTGCGCCGTCAGTTTTCCCAGCAGGCTGGAGTCTCCTGCGAGGGACCTGTTGGGAAGCTCAGTGTTCACACTTTGCGGAGACCGTCTACCATGCCAAGCAAGCCCGCAGCCCTGCAGAGTGCCCAGGGGAGCAATGCTAGAAATCCTACCCCCAGCACATTCCAGGAGTCCAGGCCCTTGGATCCCACAGCGGCTTGGGTCCCTGCCCTCCCTGGCCACATTCCAGAGGCAGGCCCTCGGGCCATCGCTCCCCCTGCATATTCTAATCTGCACCCCCACCCCCTTTTCTCTATCATTTCGTTCCTGTGAGGCTCGCTGCATCCACTTCTGCACCTCCACGTTTCTGTCCTCACTGGCAAAGATTTCCTGCACACTTGCCGAGGAAAACCAGGGGTGGATCCTCTCCGTAGCCTCCTTTCCTCCCCCAGTCTCCTCTGTGGGTTTCGTCTCATGACCTGAGGTTCCCAGGCCACGGCAGCGGCTGAGTCACCCAGGTGCTGAGTCCCAGGGGTGACGCTCTTCCTCCGTGCTCCCCTGAGCTCTGTTTTCTTGCATACCAGCCATCCACTCTGGGGCCTCCTCCCCGAGCTCCAAACACGCTGCCTTCTTTGAGGCAGGCACTCAGTACGTGTCTGCTGCCTCCCTGCTACAGCCTTTAGGAAAGACCCCGTTTCCCTTCCGTCCCACTTTGCCTTCTAGGAGAAACACAAGTTGACCTATCAGAGCTTCCCATTTGCTAACACCGTCTTTATCTGCATCACCACTTAGTTTTATTTAGCGTTGCTTTTATTTATGACTCACACGGATGATAAACCGCTGAGATCAAGGAACTGTTCTCGTGTGATTTACACTCCTAATGGAATTTATAACATCGTGACTTCTCCAAAAATGATTCACTGGGCCGAGATACAGAGAGAACTCCAAATCCTAATTCCCTCCGATGTCATCTTTGCAAGCATTTAATTACAAGTGAGCTTGGACTCTGTGCCACAGAAAGTTAACCCAACGCAGCCCCTGCCCGCCCACAGGGGCACACCCTGCTGGAGAGAGGCCCCCGGCTGCTGGGGCATCCAAGCTGGAAGGGACCTGAGCAGCCATCCAGGTGCGTGTGCTGAGGTCGCCCCGCTGTGGGCAGGGTGCTGACCCTCCAAAGGCCCCCTCCCCAGCAGCAGCTGACTGTGGGACACACATTGCCGAGATGTGCTTATACCAGCAAGCGCACAAGACAAGAGACGTTCAAGCCACCCACACCCAAGCTGCAGACTTGAACACAGACCCTGGACAACCAGGACAACCACAGGGGAAGGGTGGATTTGAACCAGCTGTGTGCGAAGCAGGCGCACTCTCCCTCGGTCCCGCCCAGACCGAGCTGTACCGGCCCCACGCCAACCGCCTCTTTCACAGTCTCAACTCCATGTCAGGCAGTGTCAAGACCATGAACTTGCACATGGTAGGACGCAGAGGCAGCAGCAGGCAAGAGCCAGGGCTCTGGAATCAGACGGTGTTCCAACCTGGCTGTGCCTTTGGTGTGCTGTGTGACCCCGGGCCAGGGTAACCACTGCAATGCTCCACCAGGAACAGCGGGGATAAGAGCAACTGGCTCAGAACGTTACCGTATGTAAGGAACTAAAACAGACAAAGTTCCTGGTGTGCGTCTGGATTCCTATCCACACACCTCCACAAGTGCTTGGGAATTACCACTCAGGGGCCCTGGTGCACTCTAAGGAGAAGGAGCTTCAAAGAGGTTGACAAGTTGGCCACACAGCTGCAAAGTGGCGGCTCTGAACCTAGGGCCGCGTCCTTTCCACCACCTTCCCAGCACATCCTCATCTCTCGGATGAGCCAAACGTACTGCCCTCTAAGTTCTGTGTTTCCCATGTCCCGCTGACTGCCAGAACACCTGTTAGAAGGCTGGGTGCAGAGCCGGCGCCGTGGCTCAATAGGCTAATCCTCCACCTTGCGGCGCCGGCACACCGGGTTCTAGTCCCGGTTGGGGCGCCGGATTCTGTCCCGGTTGCCCCTCTTCCAGGCCAGCTCTCTGCTATGGCCAGGGAGTGCAGTGGAGGATGGCCCAGGTGCTTGGGCCCTGCACCCCATGGGAGACCAGGAAAAGCACCTGGCTCCTGGCTCCTGCCAGGATCAGCGCGGTGCGCCGGCTGCAGCGGCGGCCATTGGAGGGTGAACCAACGGCAAAGGAAGACCTTTCTCTCTCTGTCTCTCTCTCTCACTGTCCACTCTGCCTGTCAAAAAAAAAAAAAAAAAAAAAAAAAAAAAAAAAGGAAGGCTGGGTGCAGTGCTGGCGGTGACACGGCTAAGTTACTGCATGGGACTCTGACCCAGGAGACGGGTCTCTGTGGGCCATCACCTCAGCCTGACCAACCAGCGCAAATGGAAATGCCGGGAGTCCTCTCCTATCACCTCCCAGACGGACTCTTCCATCCGCCAAGGGTTACTTCTACCCCCGGGCACATCCTCCCAGAGCTGTACCCTCTTAAGGGTGTTTTGTTAAAATCATGATGAGGGGCCGGTGCTGTGGCACAGCAAGTAAAGTCCTGACCGAAAGTGCTGGCATCCCATATGGGTGCCGGTTCAAGGCCCAGCTGTTCCACCTCCAATCCACCTCCCTGCTAATGCACCTGGAAAAGCAGTGGAGGGTGGCCCAAGTGCTTGGGCCTCTACACCCACGTGGGAGACCTGGCTGAAGGTCCTGGCTTCAGCCTGGCCCAGCCCTGGCTGTTGCAGCCATTGGAGAGTGAACCAGCAGATGGATGATCTATCTGCCTCTGCCTCTCTGTAACTCTTTCAAATAAATAAATATTTTTTAAAGATTTGTTTTTATTTATTTGAAAGGCAGAGCTACAGAGAGGCAGAGACAGAGACAGAGGTCGTCCATCCGCTGGTTCACTCTCCAAATGGCCGCAATGTGCCGATCCAAAGCCAGGAGCCAGGAGCTTCTTCTGGGTCTCCCACATGGGTGCACGGGTCCAAGGACTTGGGCCATCCTCTACTGCTTTCCTAGGCCATAACAGAAAGCTGGATTGGAAGTGGAGCAGCCAGGACTTGAACCGGCGCCCATATGGGATGCCGGCACTATAGACCGGGGCTTTAACCCGCTGTGTCACAGTGCTAGGCCCCTAAATAAATTTAAAAAAATAAAATAAAATTATGATGGAAGATAGTGGCTGTTTACATTATTGACAATAGCCAAGAAAAGGAATCAACCCCAGTGTCTATCAACGAGTAAGAAAACTTGGTCTAGGTGCACATGGAATATGATTCCAGCATTAAAAGGATGGAGACAGATGAACCTAGAAGATGATATGTGAAATAAACTAAGCCAGGCACTGAAAGACATCAGATACCTGATGATCTCACTTATAAGTCAAAGGACCTCAAGATGTCAAACCTGGGCTGGCGCTGAGGCGTAGCAGGTAAAGCTGCCGTCTGCAGTGCTGGCATCCCATATGCGTGCCGGTTCAAGTCCCGATTGCTTCACTTCTGATCCAGTTCCCTGCTATGGCCTGGGAAAGCAGTAGAAGATGGCCCAAGTCCTTGGGCCCCTGCACCCACATGGGAGACCTGGAAGAAGCTCCTGGCTCCTGGCTTCGGATTGGTGCAGCTCCGGCTGTTGTGGCCAACTGGGGAGTGTACCAGCGGATGGAAGACCTCTCTCTCTCTCTCTCTCTCTCTCTCTATCTCTATCTCTATCTCTGCCTCTCCTTCTCTCTGTGTAACTCTTTCAAATAAATAAATAAATCTTTAAAAAAAAAATGTCAAACCTACAGGAGCAGAGAGTAAAAAAGTGGCGATCAGAGCCTAAGGGTTGGATGTTGGTCAAAGGACATAACATCTCAGGGCAGCCAAGTTCTGGAGAGCTGCAGTACAACAAAAGTGACTCTAATCAATGACGACACATTGTATCCTTGAACACTGCTCAGAGATTTTAAACGTCCAATTAAGTCTTCAATGCTCCCACCACAAAAATATATGTCAGGCAATGGATATGTTAATTGCCTTAATTTAGCCATTCCACAAAGTATGCACATATCAAGAC